GTTCAGCCTGGAGAGGAGAAGGCTCCAGGGAGACATTATAGTGGCCTTCCAGTGCTGAAAGGGGACTACAGGGAAGGTGGGGAGGGGCTCGTGATCAGGAAGGGTAGTGATAAGAGGAGGGGTAATGGCTTTAAACTAGAGGGTAGGTTCAGACTAGGCAGAAGGAAGATCTTTTTTATGATGAGGATGGAGAAACACTGAACCAGGCTGGCCAAAGAGGTGGTGGATGCCCCATCCCTGGAAGTATTCAAGGTCAGGTTGGACGGGGCTCTGAACAACCTGATCCAGCTAAAGAAGCCCCTGCTTAGTGCAGGGGGGTTGGACTAGATGACCTTAGAAGGCCCTTCCAGCCCAAAACATTCTGTGTTGTGAGGATAAGTTGGACCATTTAAAAACAAACCAAGCCAAAAAAAAAAAAAACCCACCCACCATCTCCTTCCTCTCCCCGGTGGTGCCCCTGTGTCTGAGCTGGCCCTACAGCAGCTCCATGGGATCCCTTAAGCCATGAAATCTGGGGGTTCGCCCTTTCCAGCGGAGCTCCCTGGTGTGTGCCGGCAGCCTTGCGGCGCTTGCTGCTTGTGGCTTGTCTGAGCCCAGCCTTGCAGTGATAAACTGGCCTTTGGGCTGGGGGTGCTGATAACATACGTAACTGATTAAATAATCTAAACCAACTGGTAGAGACAGGGACTTGCTTAATAAATCCTGGCTGGGTACAGGGTATGAGGCAGGGGAACAACCAGTGCAGTGGGCTCAGGCTTTTAACAAAATAAATAAATCACAAGGTCTCTGAATGAAGAATCTTTCTATTTAACAGTCTCTTACATCTCCTCCAACTTTGGCCTCATAATGAAGTGCATTGATCTATGTATTAAATGTGTTTGCTTTTTCTCTGCCCACGAGCGATGTGTTTCAGGAACAGCAGGCTCACGTGAGAGACGGTCAGCCCCGACCGAGCTGGTTTTTTACGTACTGACCTGGCCCTGCTGCCCAGCACCCCGCCGTACCCAGGGGGTGTCCCTCGGCCCCTCCAGCCCCAGGAGTGCTGCCGGGAAGGGGCACAGCGTGGGATGAGCAAACACGGGCCGGCCCCTTCCCGCTGCCCCTGACGCAACCCAGGAGCAGCCAGGGCATGGGCTGTAATGGTGTGTAATGGTGGGGGTGTGTGTGAGGGTCACCCCTATGTCCCCCTCCCCTGGCTCAAGCCTAGTGGGCTTCGCTGCTGGCCCACGAGGTCAGTCTGAGGCTGGGCTGGGGCCAGGAGACCTCCTAACCAAGGAGAAGTTGGGTTTTAATGTCAGCTTGGAGCAGCTCAGATGTGATTTGGGCTTCAGCAATGAAAAAAAAATCACTCAGCTCCATTTTTTTCTTTTTCCTCTTGTTCCCTGGCACTGTCTCAGGATGGGGACATGGATGAAGAGTGGGCTGGTGGCAGTGGGACGTACAGTGGTGGGGAGCCATTGGGTTCCCAGCCTTGTCATGCACGTAGCGTCACGCTGAGGGCTGGGCAGGTCGTGCTGTGACCGGCACCAGAGGAAGGGTTTTGGGATGTGGGTTGGGCTCCCTGGGTTGCCTGGGGTGGGTGTCTCTGGGCTGTCACACCAACATCATCATCCCTGAGCAACAGGGTATTTCTGTCCCTCTTGCTCAGTTTCCCATGAAGAAGCAAAAAAAAAAAAACCAAAACCAAACCTGTACCAGTCCCATTTCTTTGCCTCAGTTTTAAATATTTATTTAAAGTCCAAAAAAAAAAAAAAAAAGGGGAAGAAGAGAAGGAAAAAAGCTTGAATGAGAACAAACGGTAACTCCAGCCTCGAGAAAACACGCAAAAATGATGGTGAGAGGACGAGAGAGGGAGAAACCCGGGAGCGTGGGGGTGTGGGCAGGGGAAGGCAGCAAGCGGGCGATGAGCGATGGTGATTTTGGCCCGGGGGTGCTGGGGCGAGCCGCCCCGCAGGGTGAGGTATTGCTGAGCAGAGGCAGGGCTGCGTGGAGGGTGAGGTATTTGGGACAGATCTTGTTAACCTTTTCTGATGGTTGTTGGAAACCAACCAGCAGGCAGTAGTAAGAAAAAAGAAAAAAGAATACACAAAGAGAGACTCACATATAATTTTTTTTTTTCCTCAAAAAAATAAAATCCATAGTCCATATGAGACATGAAAACTCCAAACAGGCACTGAAGCATTTCCGATACAGTACAGCTCCGATTACATCAATATTATTCCTTATATAGAATTAAAGATTACCATAATTATCCTCTTTAAAAAAAAAAAAAAAAATCCTCCAAATTTACATATAGAGCCTAAATTTCTACAAAACTTAACAAAACGAACCCCCTCCAAGCCTGGCTGGGTTCTGAAACAAGGTACCATCATGTCAGTCTTGACAGAGGGGCCAGACAGAAGGGTTGCAGAGCTGGGTTTAAATACGAGCTTAGACCAGGGAATCACTGCACGCGCAAGCCGGCACGGACGTGTGGGCAGCGCGACGGCAGCAAAACTAGTTACACGACGACCGACTCACAGCTAGCGCTCTCTGAGGCTCAAGGCTTCCAGATGAGCTGTGTCCCTTACTCCCCTCCCAAAGCAGTGAAGTGCTGATTAACAAAAGGAAACAACAACAACGAAAAGGCAAATTTGCTTTTAAAATATCCTGTAAGCTATTTTGGACACGGTTTGAGTTGTTGCGCACGCTTGACATCCACGGCGGTTGAAGGATCCCTTTAAAGGTGACTGTTTCTCTGATTTAGCTGTAGACCGTAACCTCCTCTCCTAGAGAGATGGTCCTATGGGCTTTTTTTTTTTGGGTCTGTGGCAAGACACTGTAGCACCTTCACAACCTTAAATAGTTTAAAGTCATATACATAAAATAACACACTTCTTTAAGAGCACCAGAGATTTCACAGTGAGAGGTAGAAACAAATCAGACGAGCCCATCCTCTCTCTCTATTTTAGCACCAATCTCTTCCCCTCTCCTCCTTCCATTCCCCCTCTTGGCTTCGGGACTCTCTCCCACCCCAACACCACGCATGAGAAGGGACGTTGATTAAACTCACCCATGGAAGGAGGAACTTTATTTTTTTTTCTTTTTCTTTTTGCTTTAAATAATATAATATATATATTTTGTTTCTTCTAATATTGCACATTGAAATGCTTCCGGCACCCAGAGCAGCCGGATTCAACTTGCAGCTCCGCCTGGGAGACCTGATGCAGCACGTGGCCATCCGGAAGGCGACAAGCTCTGAGAGGGAAGCTCTATCTTTTAATTACTTTTCAATTGAAAGAACATTTGGTAACTCAGGAACCAGGTAAGACAAAATGACGGGGAAAAAACCCAAAACACCGATAACAAACCACATGCTGCAAGTTGCTTGAGGTTTCTCTCAATATTTTCTTTGGTCATGGAAGAAGCTTTGTGTGTGGAACCGCTTGCAACATCTAGTCCCCTGATCCCTTTTCACTGTTCACGTCCCGACTGATACCCGCTTCCCCTACGTCCTTGTTATTCCTCCTTTCAACAATCTGCTGAGTTCAGTAGACCACGGGTTCTTTGAGACCTTGAGCCAAAGGCTAGAGCAAGAGTTGAGCCAAAAGATACAGCCCAGCTGTCCTTGCTGCAGAGAGGTGGGAGAGCCTGTGTAAAGACATAGGCCAAACACGGGGTCAAAGCCTTGGAGCCCGGTTTCGATGGCTTTGTTCAAAGGAAGCACACGGGGCCGACCTCGAGGTGATATTGCTTTCCTGGCTCGGATGGGGGAAGGTTGTAGATGTTGACAATTGGCAGCTGCTGAGGGTTCTGCGTCCGAAACGAGAAGAGAGTCCGATGCCAGCGTCCATCCTTGATCTGTGCAGGGAGGAGGGAGAGAGAAAAAGCTGTTTAACTGGGGGACGAATCCCGCTGGAAAGGAATGCGTTTTACAAGGCATAAGCTTGCAGAGCCCTGCGTGAGGCAAGGGACTGCCCTTTGGGCTGAGCAGGCTTGGGGTGAGGTTTAGAAAGCATTTTGGGGAACCCTTTAACTGGGTCAAGTTGATGGAACCCGAGCTTGAAAAGGCATCACCAACCACAACCTCTGAACGCAGAGAACCCGGAATGCAGGCACACGGCTACCGACTCAGTGTGGCAAGAGCCCAGACCACCACCTCCGGGTAGCAATTCCCCCTTCTGCCATTTAACTTTGGAATGTAATTTTTTTGCTTTCTATTTAAAGGCCGTTCACTTAACAGGAGCTGCTACAGCACCCTGGGCTGGAAAATTAAAGGGTGAACAGGTAAACTAGA